TTTCTTTCTTTCTCTCCGTATCTTTCTCGTTCTGTCGAGCGGGTTCTCGCGTGCGCGGGCGTGGTACTGTACGTACCACTTATGCGAGAGAGGCGAATAAAACATATACACGCGTACACGCGGCTCTCTCGCGTAACGTGTGCATCAGATACCAGTCGGTAGAAACAGTTTTGTTGATTAGCGAGCTCGTTTGAACCGGCCGTATTACTTTGTATCGCTGAGGAATGCTCTTAGTGGCGGATTATAAGTATCCCGTGTCGTAAAAACGTTGGCATATCGTGTGAATGCGTTCGAATGTTTTGAAAAAAAGCTCATACATACATAGCATATTAAATACTGAATACATTTCCATTTTCATTAATTTTTTTTTCGTTATTAATTATTTATTATGTTAATCATTCATTGCTCTTCTATAAAGTTTCTTCGATGATGATCAAAGTAAATGCGATGCTTCGAAAAAAATTCTAATCGTTTCTGCATTTATCCGATAATCAATGCAAGTGGAAACAGCGAAACGATCACTTTTCTCGCGTAACGTATAAATCCGTGTTCATATCTCGCTCGTATCTCGCGTCTCGGTATAAAATATTCCGAGGTAGAGCTACCGATACATCGCTCCGAAATTCCTCGCGGCTGCCGCGCGCAATTAATAACTCAAATATCGCCCAGTACAATTTACTATCCGCTTTGCGTCGTTAATCACGCGTTCCCGCGCGCCCGTGCCAATGCCGCTTCGCCAAGCAGGTGGGGAATCGATAACAGAGATGCATTAGAATATTATGACCTTTCGAAGTGCATTCGGTGATTCACCGCGGGAGCTGCGATAGCGCGTTATCGCCGTGGCTACTCGCGGCGCGGCGGGTTCGATGCTATCGGCCGGCTGTATTCCCGGCTAATCGGGACAAGCGAGAAAGGGAGAAAAGGAAGAGGCAGGGTGCTGACCTCGCTTCCTGAATCGTTCGGGGCGGTGGCATCTCTCCGAGCACGCTGCTCGGCGAGCACGCCGCGGCGCTGCACAGACATCGTCGCGGCCGTACCTGCATTCGTGCAATCAAATCAAGCAGATAATATCTGTGAATTCAGCCGACGATATGTCAGCTCGTTAAGCTGCTCTTTATGTGTTATTTAAACGCGACTAAGCGAGTCTCGGCTAGTCTATATTTTTGACTGGAATTTTGCGTAATGCGCACATTTAATTAATCCACTAATTAATTCCAGTCTGAATCCGTTAATTCCAATTTCAACTAATCTAATCATATTCGAAGCATGACTCTTAACTTCGTGAGCCGAGCACTATCATGCTAATTTTTAACTAGTTTCAAGATAAGTTTATCTAGAAGTTTAATCTCAATTAATTAATTCTTGACGATTTTCTGATCTTGAGATATAAATTTCTGAATTTTACGAAGCTGAGCGGAAAACGAGAGAAAGCCATACATTCGAAACGATTGAAATTTGCATCGATCATAGATCTCAAGTGCGGTTCCATTCGAGTGCCGAGATCCGCGTCTGGAAAACCGTGTCTTTAATTATAATGCTGCGCGCGCGCGCAGTGCAAACGTATTCAGCGCGAAGGCGTTAGTCTTAATAACAACGGAAATCTCGTCGCGCGCGTAATTTCGTGCAATTATATATCTCTAACGTCGCGCGTCTCGTTTATCTCTTCTTGAACACGTCACCGAATGTACGAGCGGACAATCTACCGGCAAACGAGCGGTTGCCGTGTTAAGACCGCGACTCAACATCACCGTTGTCGGAAGACACCGCGTCCGGATGTTATCGCCATCGACTCTCCGGCAAAAATCCGCGCGCCTGATGTCATTATGCCGACGGACGAGATAACGCCGCCTCACCCCGGCGAGTGAGTCTCACCGCGAACAGGGGCGAACGCTTCCATCGGTAGGCGAGGTATGCGGCCTTACGCTTTAGCGTGAATGCAGCTCCGCGAGCGCGCTGGTACTCGCGTAGAACCGCATTATCGCGGGATTACGTAAGCGCCCGGAGCCGCGGCGTACGATTGCGCTTGTATTACGCTATAATTAGGACCGGGCCGGCCGGCGTAACCGCACAGGCGCAGGTATGTGTATATTGCGCGCGACGTTACTTACGGCCGCGTAATCCGCGTCGTATTAATAACCGGCGATAAACGTTAACGTACACCGCCGTGCGCGTGTCTCCCAGGATCCGAGAAAGGAGGAGCGTAAACTGCGCGCGGATGCCGCTGCGGATCGGAGAACCGCTTCTCGAGAGAAGAGATTACACCGAGCGCATCTTCCACTTGCGTTATCAAAATACGGCTTAGTCTCTCCGTCACGAGAGTAGAATGCGCGCATCGGAATATTTGGAATTCTGCGTGAAGTGCGCTGTTTCTAAATCGCCGCCGTCCGAGTGACTCTTAAGCGATCGACGCGATTTGGATGTTGAAGCAAGCGGCGGATTGGCTCGTTGCAGGTTGCGGCACTCTTTTTTTTCTAAATGTCCGCGTAATCGTCCGGCATTAAGGAAAGTAAACTGGTTTTGCGCTGAACGAACGTTTGACCGGCGCGCGACTTATCTGTAGCCTCGATCTTGCGGGCTGAAAAATCGCGGAAAGGTACACACTACGTGTAAAGTGCACGAGGGAGGTACCGTATTGTGTATCAAACGCGCTATACACGGAGAAAGAAAATCACGGATCTTGTTAATCTCTGCGCTTTACGACAAAGAACGATGATAATTCAGAGATAATTAAAAGAAAACACGCTCAGCAACAACGACACGCGTGGTAATTAATTCATTAGAAAAATGCACCAATTAAATAAACTCTTAAATTCTAAATATTAATTTATAAAAACATTTTTAACTTTTTTTGTGTGTAAATATATCAAACTAAAATGATTGAATCTTAACAGATTAACGTGTTAATGCTGCAGCCGTCTCTACGCGCCGTTTAATTAATTTCCGACTAAACGCCGCTAAATAGACACGCTCACTAAATTAGCGATCGCTCGCTTACGCTGACAGATATCGAAACGATACCCGCGCGATCGGGTGGACGAAAATCAAGATCTCGCCGTGTTCGTTCCCGACATACGCTTGATTAATATCCAGATGTAATTACGCGCCGCCTCGAGGGCAAGGGCGGATTGCGCGGGAAGAAGACAGCCTCCTTCTCCTTGTATGCCTCTCGCCGGATCGTGTGGGAGGAAAGCGAGAACAGAGATGAATATTGTAGAGAGGACGCGCAAGAGAGACGGGAAGACGAAAAGAAAGAACGAGAGAGAAAGACAGAGAGAGAGAGAGAGAGAGAGAGAGAGAGAGAGAGAGAGAGAGAGAGAGAGAGAGAGACGTACGTACGA